AGTTTGGTTAGGAGCTCAATCCCCGGAGTTACGTTTTCGTCATTTGTAGAGAAATTAACCAATGCCAAAAAATGTTTCACTTCCAGTTCCGTGTGTGAAAATAGTCGACATTGAAATTTAGAAAATTTTAGTCAGGGAAAACCTGCAAAAGTCAGGGAAAGGACCCCGCACACCTCTTATGGGAAGCTGCACCAAGACCGATTGCCTTATGACTTATGTCATTCGATTCTCCTCAAGATGCTGATCAAAAGTTATAATTGCGCCAACTATCTACGATGCACCGTTTTCACAAAAAATCAAAGAGAAGATTCAATTATTCGGTGATAAAAAGCCAGAAAAAATTCCTCATTTCAGTGCTCGATTGACAAGCGGCTGTGTGTCAACAAGGAAATCATGGGGACTCCCGCACCGAGTGGCAGTCTTATCTCGGATTCCGCACGCCGTTTTGCTTGACCATCCAAATCAGATTCTTGAGAAGCATAAGAACAGGAAAGTCTGAACGTCTACCGGGCGAGTGCGGGAGGGAGATAGCCCCTGAGTCGGCAGGTACAGATAAGAAAACGGACACGCGCTACGTTTTTTCCTTATTTACATCGGGCCTGTCCTCAAATGCTTTGTTGTTTTTTATTCATATTCGCCGAAGAGTTGAATCTTCTCTTTGATTTTTTGTGAAAACGGTGCATCGTAGATAGTTGGCGCAATTATAACTTTTGATCAGCATCTTGAAGAGAATCAAATTACATGAGTCAATTAGCAATCGGTCATGGTGCAGCTTCCCATAAGAGGTGCGCGGGGTCCTTTTTTCCTGCTGAGGCTGTAGACACCCTGTTCAGGTCACAGGAATTTTCTTGAATTTTTTTGAACGAAAACAACCTACAAAAATCGAGTTCAAAGTTGCATAGTTTGAGCTTCCATTCCGATGCAAATTGCCGAGAAAACTAAGATAAAACAGGAAAATATCTGTCCTGTTGCAGATACATTTATGAGTGACCCATTGTGAATTCTCTGCCGAAATTCATGGTCTGGACAGCATTGTTGCCAGATAGTGCTGAAATTTCAGTGCAGTTCTACATTTAACTAAATGTCAAACGTCCATATCTTTTCTCACAATCTAGCAACCTTGCTGTGCAGGCATTCCAATACATAACTGCATGCAGTGGAAACAACAAAAAAAATAAAGATTTGTCCAAATAAAAGACAAATCTTGTCTAAGAAAGATTAATTGATCTAGAGTGAATACACCTAAAATCCTTAATTATCTAAAGCATCCATCTGTTTCCTGCGCTAGGTTTTCTGAGTGTTTTTAATTTCTTGTTGCAGAACCTCAAACGGATGGTGGACCAAATCCGCAGGTTTCAGGTGCTGAACAAATTCGCTACGTTAAACAACTACCTGAAATCAAGCGAACACAATAGTGTCTCAGTCGAACATGTCTGCTGCTTCCCGCCACCGATTCACCCCTCTCTTGCAGTGCATGCACACTACTATCGATCAGAGAACCTGCAGTCACAAACTGTGCATAACCTCTAAAGTCCCATGCCGGAAGGAATTTCTGATTTATCAGATTAATGTAAACAGTAAAGTTCTGTCAATAATAATCTCGTATGGTGAGCTGAACTCCTCTTTGGTGACTATATATTATCCTGCTATAAAAATCATCATGCTGCAAAATGGAAGTGCCTATATTACCTACCTACACTACAACATTTCAACTGTGTAAGTCTGCAATCACATATCTTGTTTGCAGCGTCTGAAAATCTCCACCTCTATGTTATTTTCTTACAGGAGAACAAATTGACATCATTCCTTGAAGTTTTTGCAGAATTTTCTTGCACAGAGAAGAAAAATCACGGCAGTTTTAAAAAATTACCGTTGAGTAGTTTTCCGTTTAAGAAATAAAGTATGACAGTAAGTCTGCAGTGTCACAAACCGAGTTATGTGATTGCCGACTTACACCGTCGATTTATGAGTTGTTTCCTTGTTGGACTTGACATTTTGAACAGGAGTGTATCCTGTAATTTTGTTTCTTGCAGTTTAGAAAATAAAGAAAAAGTCTGAGGAAGGAAAAGAGGTTTTTTACTTACATAGTAACGAAACGCAGTCGTGCAGTCCAAAGCTGGAGAGCGTTGGGATCAGTGTGGAAAAACAGCATTTTCTCGCACTAAAATTGAGATATTAGAGGACCAGAATTGAACACATTTTAACTGTGAACGCGCATTAAAGAAGTGACGTTCGAGATTAGAACTAATACTCTGCATCAATGACATTTCTCCTTTGCATTTCTCACTTATTGATCTCAAAAAAACTGTTACAACTCCATACTACAGGACCCAGTTTACTCCGGATCTAAGAATGAAACCGAGCTGAATTATGTACGATATAGTGCTCTGTATCACGCTCGACATTCTAATAGAACATTTTAAACATAAAATGTTACTATAATTGAATAAAACATAAAGAAATTGAGGAAATAATAATTTAACCAACGGTGCTTACCTGAAAAGACCGTTGTTATTGACTAACTCGCCCTAACCTCCACATACAATATTTTTTCTTATCCCTGGATGGTACTTCATCCTCCGGTAAAATTATTTTCTGCAGAGATATTATTTCCGCTATCTAAAATTCATATCTCTCTACTGACTGTTTAATGCCACTCTCTATCTGCCATTTTTTCCTCTCCATATTGGAAAATGGTCATTGGTCTCCTACCAATTTTTATGAAGTTTGATGTTTTTATTGCTTCTTTAATTATTCCCATTAATCAGCAGGATCTCTCTCCCCATTATATGTATAAATAGTGTAGCTTTTTCGGAGGCCCCCTGGTCCTTTTTTAATGTAGGTATTAAATGTTAAGGGGGGGGGGGGGGGGGGGGGGCAGTCCTTCTTGAATGTAGGGGTAGGCATAAAATTTTAAACGTTTAAAAATTAAAAATTTAAATCAAACAGAATACGCACTTTCCAAAGTAAATAAAGAAAATAATGTAGAAAGCACTCTTCCCCCCTCCCAATCCCCAACTTCCTCCCTCTCTCTCCTCCCCAATGATCAGTGGTCGGAACACTCGTGACGATCAGTGCCTTGAATGGGAGGCGATATGGCACCACTGCATGAGGCACTCTAGCGCTCCTAGTGCATCCTAGTGGCGTACATGAGAGGCGCGCGCTTTCTCCTGTGGATTAGTTCGACAGCTAGTTCGACACATTCACCCCGCTCCTACCTGATCAGTGATGCATTTATGAAGGTTTGGAAAATCCATTAATCCAAAGGAAAATCTGTGGTGGAAAATCGACGGAGATTCCTCTATATTCGCGGGAACGTTTTTGAAGCTATCACGATAATAATGTTAGTTCCTGAAGTTTTTGAGACCATCAGATCACTGCTTCGTTTTTAAAACAGATCATTTACGCGAGAGGAAAAAAATTTGACAGAATGCATCCTTGCATTCATTGTTGACGCCAAATTTAAATTGAAAGAGTTGGCCGGCTTAAAAACAATGTATGTGCCATTAGTTTCCCTATGCACATAAGTGTTTTTTTAGATGAGTCAGAATTTATAGCTCCAAATTGAAAAATGCAGTTGTTGTTGCGTGCGTCTCTACTAAAATTAAGTTTGGACTGATTATGAGCTCAACTTTTTGCAACAAAAATAAATAAATAATTAAAAAGTGAATATCGCATGGCACAAATTTGAATTCCGGCGGTAAATTAAAAATGTCTAAATCTCTTTCGGTTATGCTTATAGATCAGAATTATTTAGTTAAAATACCCGCAGGCTTTATTTTTCAAAGATTTTTCTAATTAAATCCCTTCACAATCTACATACTCAATAACTAATGATTCAACATCATTTTCTCCAACTTTTTACTGATTGTGAGGGTCTTCCGGAATGTTGGAATGGAAGTAAAATGGCTCTTCAGCACTTTGAGGAGCAATTAGCGGTAGTCAATTGATTATTCCGGGATTAAGTACAGAACATTTTTACAGGAATCTCAAAATGTCTCATCACGCTGTAGTCCATTAGGTATATTAATACACAAGATTTGACTGGGGAACATTTTGAAATGTCTTCAAAAGAATTTTCCAAGTGTTCATTATAGATCGAATATCACACGATTTGAGATATTCACTAGAGGGTACTGGGTACTTTCGGAATTATTTTGAAGTATCTCTTCATTAAAACTTGCACAGGTACAAATACCTGCCGTACCAAGAATGATGTAATATTCAAAGATTGTTAAAAAAGACGTCCTGAAGTCCAGAAATGATCAATTAGTCAATTGCCTGTCAAACTATGCTCACCAAAGTGCTTTAGAACCACTTAGAAAGTTTAAGCCAAATTATTTAGATGTCTTGAAAGAATCATGAAAAAGAATAAAAGGGTAACGATTATTAAATAATTTGACATAAGCTGTCCTCATTTTAACAGCTGCTACTATGAGACTATGGTAAAAATTACTATTTCAGTTAGGTAATGGTACCTTATAATAAATATTAATTTTATGTTCAGACGGCCAGAAAAAATAATTTGACTTTTAAATTAACCCTTTCTCTTAAACAGGTCGATCAAATCAAAATTGACTCTGTGTACAGTGAGTATGCGCAGTTCGTGAACAGTGATGTTCAATAGCTCTTACTTAATTGCAGGAATGGAGTATCATAATAGTATATTTCTCATACTTTCAACTCATCAGTGTTTCTTAGTATAAAACAATGATAAAATATAATATTTCATGATGAAGCAACTTTCAACAAAAAACTACAATTTAGGAAAATCTAACTATAAATGAGTGGGAGGATTCTTTCAATGATAGACCACTCCAGTAGTGAATTTTATCAAACTCTAACATCCCTATTTTAGCTGCACAGTGAACATTAATAAAACAGCATTATTAAAAAATTCAATATCTTGTTCTTGTACCAAAATATTCCTTTTCTGCTTCTGGTTAATAATAATCATAGAAAACAGAATACGAATAGGTTCAAGATAGAAAAAATCAAAGTCATTTTTGGATTCTATCATTTACTTATGATTTAAGTTAAGAAAGGATACAAATAAAAATGGTTGAAATGTATAATATTCTATGCTCATCACAGTGCGTATAACAACTATTATAATTTGAAAAAAAAAAAAAAAAAAAAATTCTTTTTGATGAAAAAGTAATTTGGAATTGTTACCTCACGGCCTGTACAAAAAAACATTGGTTTCACTAGGTTAGGATTTGGCCAGAAGAGTTTAGAATATCAATTATCAAGAGATCAATAAATTACTTGCGTAAATGATTTTTTGGCATATGTATACAAATAAACACTTCCATTATAATATTCTGCTATAAGTGTGTACGATTCAACTGGTAAAAAAAAAAAATTGACTCTAGCAGAATTAAAATGGAAATTTTTGGGTTAATTTTTAGTGACTTTGACATCAAATTTCACCATGAGAATGAAGCACATGCTCCGATGATACCCAGCAAAGGTTTAAACTCAGTGTAAAGATAGCCTACATGGGACCTTAAAAAATGCTTATATCTGTTGAAGCTAAACAGCGAATAAGAGCACTTAAAAATTAACTTCCAAAATAAATTGGATTTTCATACACAGATTTTGTTGATGCCGTGAAATAGACAAAGTGGTTAAAATACAATATAATGCTACACTAGATGGTCCTTATGAAAATAATTATAATTATATCTGTTAAACTTATTAAGAATGGAAGCACTAATAATGACACTCACTTAAAATTAAATCTAGTTTTAGAATGTTTTGGTGTATCCAAGGTAACTCAGTCAAAAAATTTTGAGTTAAGGTTTTCTTAAACCCTTTCAATTCTACCAATTTTTTTGAAATCGGCTGATGTCACATATGTAATAAGGGGCCATTCATAAGATATGTGACTCTGAAAATCAGATATTTTTACCTTGCCCTGCCCTCTCCTCCCCGCTTAGTACACCCATAACATATGTCTGCACTGACCAATGTTTTGAAATAAATTTTCCATTAAAAATTGTCACATCGCGTTGATTGTTTCACTTAAATTTATCAAAAATCGGCTTTAGGCGTCTACTTTAGAATCTTGTGACATAGTCTTAAATGCCCAGGACCTTTAAAGCTCCAGGCTCAGACTTAAAGCCTACCCATGAAGCGGTACGTACAATACGGACCAAAGCCCCTAGGTTCAAATAAATTTTTGTTCCAATATCCTTGGTTCAAGACAAAAGAAGAAAACATGCAAATAAAATATCTGAATGCAGGTCAATGGTAAACAACTGAAATTTCCTCTTCACTAAGGACAAAAACATCAATACTAATTCTACTAAAATTACTTTAATTAAGTTAACTTAGATGAAGCCAGACTTTTTCAAACATTCTTTTACTTTTTCTCGATCACTGTTGTTCAGAGGTTGGAGAGGTTTCCTCACAGGTCCACCATAGTATCCAAGAATGTCCATTGCTGCTTTCATGCCAGGAACACTGTGTCCCGTCATTCTCAACTATGCAAAAAAGTGAAAAAGGTGTTTTAAATCGAGGAATGCGGAGGGGAGGATTCTTCTGTATGGCCGATGAAGGACTTTTCAAGTAAATGATTTTTGAGGAAACTTTGAAAATAATAATGAGGAAAATATAAAAAAGGCTGCCATGAGCTGAAAAAGTACAAATTTGAGCTACTGAAAAATTTGAGTACAATAAATATTCTGCCGTGCTAAAGAAGAGCGCTGTATGAACATTTGAGAGCCTTTGATAAAATTTTTATTTTTGTGGAATGTTAAGAATATTTTTCCCTGAAACTTTCAGGAACTTGAGGTGAAATTGCGCACAAATTTATCTGAAAAATTGGAAGGAGCATTTGCACAAGTTTACCGGGAAATTCGTGTTCTATCACAGGAAATTTGGCAACGCCTGGAGGCTTATACGGCGTTCTTCCTTAGCACGGCAGTATTGGAAAGGGCTCCTGACTTTTCAATCAAGAATATAAAAATAACAGCTCACTTTTGCTCCATACAGCAGCCAGGGGGCTATGTGACTCACATTGAATTATCACATTCAAAAAATGTAAAGGAGATAAAAAATATGTTCTTTTTTTTATTGAACACCATGAAAGAACTACATACACCACTACTTTGTAAAGAGGAACTACTATTACTGGCTCATCCATAGAGGCACCTATCTGCACACCAAAACAAATGACACATGTGTTGTTTCTAAAATGAGTAAAAATTGCTACTTGGTTCCCTTCAGCAAAATGAATTGCAAATGTAGAGTTGATGATTATTGCCCTTATTTAAGGATAAATGAGGGGAAAAAACACTTATAAGCAGAGAAAATTTCTCACCATCAAGTCTGGTTCAACTAATTTCATTTGTAACTGTATTGCTTCATCATACTGTCCAGATGATACGAGCTGATGCACCTCACACACTGTTTCGCCTAAAATGGCCCCAAGGCTATTGATGCTGCCGACAGCACCTAGTAGACAAAAGAAAAAAGGGAAAATTATACATCAGTTGAGAAAAGAAGGAAAATATGTTTCCTGAGCAATTATTTGGACAATCTTTCAAAAAAAGGACTTTAAAAGGAAGATAAAAAAATCAGAGAGAGGAAATACATACAGGAGGAGGTATCTGCCTTGCTGTCCAAGATTAATGCAGTGATCTTAGCAGGAATCTTTTGGCGCTAGCCCGAACATTGTTCTAACAGCCTTTTTTTGGATGATGAATACTTTCTCCAGGAGAGTGTTCTTACAGTTAGACCAAATGGTTACCCAATAAATAATATAGGACGTGAATAGTGGTATACTTGCTTAAGTATACTAGTATAAAAATATTTAGAAAGCACTTTCAGTACAAATATGGCTGAGTATAATTTGTTACAGATGCTGTTTTTACAGCTATCAAAATTTAACTTATTGTCCAAAAGAATCCCTAGGTACATACTTTGATATGGGGACCATCTAAATTTCTTGGTTGTCAATCAAGATGTTGAAGGAACTTACAATATTTTTGGTACCTTAAAGCAAGAACTTTGTTTACCCGGTCCAGAAAGTAAATTTACCCATTCAATATCTTCTACTAATGTGAAGATAACTGAGATAGATAAGGAGGATCTGTGAAAAAAATTGTTGAAAAGCAACTACTCTCAGCTTTCTAATGCGCTGTAGATTTTTAAAGTTGGTTCAATAGTGCTCTAGAAAAGAGGATTTTTCTGAACCCACCTCTTCTCCGTGCGGGTCCAAAATTTCACAGAGCGCCATCCGCTAAGGAGCTGCTATGTCTATTGCTTATCTCAAAAAAGAGGCTTAGAGATGATTAAATTTAATTTTGAATATGAGCAAGCACATTTCTTCATTAGAAAATCGCAGGTTAATTCGATAATTAGTGGGTCTGGACTGTAGTGCGTGAAAAGGTTAAAGTACAATTGGTGAACTTAAGGAGTTGTATCACTGAATTTGGTCTCGGTGTGTGAATTGGACATATTTCTGCCAAACAAAACTATGTGCATTATGATGTGAGCCCTGCTGTGCATATATTCTTATGGGTTTCAGAGCTCATGTCTTAATGCACATAGTTTCGTTTGGCTGAAATACGTCCAATTGCGCTCTATAATTAGTTTTTTAACCAAAAAAGGTGACCATAGCTGCTCAAATTCAGCTTAATTTACAGTAAAGATATTGTAAACGCTACATATTTTTCAAAATGATGCATCTTTGACGAAATTTCTTCAAGAGCGGGCGGAATAATGTGAAGGCCTATGAAAAATTCAGTCGGTGAGTGATGGTGAACGCTGACAATTGGATAATTTTTTGTTCTAATTTGACTGATTTTAAAGCAAACACAGTCAATTCTGCGATTTCCTGACTGATTAATGTTCTTCCTTATGTTTTACATGATTTCCAACCATCTGTAAGCCACTTTCTTGCGATGAGCTATAGTTACAGCACTAACAGCAACTCACTTGCTGATGGCACTCCATTTAGAAGATTTTAGAAGAAATGTGCTTGCTCATATTCTACATTAAATTAACCACCTCTAAGCCACTTTCTTGCGATAAGCGATAGACAGCAGCTCTTTTGCTGATGGCGCTCCGTGAAATTTTGAACCCGCGCAGAGAAGAGGTGAGTTCAGAAAAATCCACTTTTCTAAAGTTCTATTGAACCAAATTTAAAAACCTATGGCGCGTTAGAAAGCTGAGAGTAGTGGCTTTTCAACGTTTTCACACATTTTCTTTATCTATTTTAATTTGGGAGATATTGAATAGATAAACTTCCTTTCTGGACGACTCTCATAATTTCTTGTTGTTAGTGAGAAGGTCATGCATCTGTCTGCTTGGGACATCCCTTACATTTCCTCTCTGGTTAACCTTGTTAATGCTTAGCCACGTTTAAACTATGGTATCAGTACTCATATTAATCTTACCTGCCACCATTGCTGACACCAAAAAGCCAGCACCATTGGACAAAACAGCAAAATTATGTTCGTGTGTGGCAAGTTTTGTTCCAGACAGTTTAGAGACCTGTGGTAAAAGTTATTCAATTGTAGTTATTGATGATTTAAGAGATATGCAGGCTAATTGGACTGCATTTTGCAATTTGGAACTATAAATTCTGGCTCATCTGAAAAAACACTTATGTGCATACGGAAACTAATGGCACCACGTTGTTTTTAAACCGGGCCAGAATTTATAGTTCCAAATTGCAAAATGCAGTCCAATTATTAATTATTTTCCTCTGCTGTGTCCGCTAAAAAGAAAAAAAGGATACACCACCGCATAAAACAATTCTACAGAAAGCCATCAGTTAGGCTCTTGTAGTTGGTGTGGCTTGTAACAATGGGGAGAAAATTGCTAGCTGCGCAAGCATGTAAGTAAGTGTGGCAAGCTGATGCATCTTTTTAATTATTGTTTTACCGAGAAATTCTTTGTGTAATCTATAAAAATGGCTAATCTGTACATAGTCTATGCATTACAACTACAGGTGGAAAAAAAAGGAGGAAAGTTTATGCTGAAAGACAAATAATGTAACCGAAATGAAGCATGAAATATTAATTAAAATAATAGTTATTTTAGTCATTGCTTGTAGAGGCAAATAAAAAATGTTTTAGGTGGCAACAGAGTTTTTTTGGAGATTTGTAAGCCTATATTGTAGACACATAGCGAAGAAAATAGGAAATTCAGACTGTACCATTAACAGTACACAAATCAACTGAAAATTGTGGATGAAAATTGCCTCCTAAAGAATTTTTAATCAACTTACGTCACCATCTTTCACTGCTACTATGTTGGGATGAGCGGCTAGTTTGATGTAAGCGGAAATTGGTATGTCAACGCCAGTGGTGAGAGGATTATTGTAAATGACAAGTGGAACGGGACTAGCGTTTGCAACTGTCGTAAAGTGATCAATTATGGCTTCTTCCTAAAATGAAAAGAAACTTCACAGTGGTTATCAAAATTAAGTTTGTTTATTAGCATTATACGGGTAAGAATAACTAATTTATTTTGTCAGAGTCTGTGGATGAAATTAAAACTTTCTTGCAAGAAATTGAGCTGGATTTGAAAAGTTATAGTGAGTCCATAGCACTCTATTTAAACTGTTGATGGGGGAATATATATTGTGGTGCTCACATTTGTGCCTTGTCTTGTGCTCTATTTATACAGCTGATTGAAAGTTATTGAAATTAACGAAAATTTTAAATCATACAAAAAAGGGTGCAAAAAGGTGCTCTTACATTCAATCTGGTTCGATAATAGAAAGGCAACAAAACCATGACCGCATCAGCACCTGCTTCCCCCATAGATTTGCTCAATTCGCAAGTGGCTTTAGTTGCTGCAGATGGAAAAAAAAAATAATACTGTTTTGTACTGCCTTTTAAGAAATGAGAGTGATTAATTTCGAAGTTAGATCTTCATCTAAACTTTTTGTTAACAGAAAAAAGGGCATGCGAATTGCATGACGATGTTATTTTATTGGAGATTCATCAGATTTTTTGTATCCCCTTGTCCCCAGAAGAAAAAGAAACTGAGACTTTTACTGTAGATTGAGTACCTGCTTCTATTTCATTTAAATTAATTTTAAATATTCGGTGGGCATTAAAAAAGATTTATAGTTAGTAAAAACAAGTTTTAAATCAAGAGTACATACCTTCTTAGTGATTTTGCAAAATAGTACGGATATTAAATAAATAAAAATCGAACTAGCAACGGAAAAATTAGAATTTAGAATTGTTTGTTAAAAAAATTTAGTGTTGTTCCAAAGTTGGCAACGAACATTGGTTGGAAATGTTTTAGATCAGAGATAAGTGAGACAAGTGACGTAAGCAAAGTCTAAAGTCATCATAAAATTTGTAATGCTTTTGAGAACATAGGTTTGATAGAAAATCTCAGAGAGCATATTCATTTGTTAATGATTCAGACTATAAAGATTCGGTCGATGCAAGGGGTTCAATCTCATTTTCAGAGAATAAAAGCAAGTTCCTGTGTTAGTAACTCAATAAGTATAAAATTAAAGGCTCCGTACAGAGACAACTGGAGCCCCCTATCAGGATTTTAGAATCCGAGATGACCTTTCTTGTTTCTTTCACGATTGCCAATCTTTCCCCAGGATCAACAGAAGGAGCCTCACTGTATGAGCCGCCAACCACGTATCCTGAAACATGAAATAAATACAAGTTTAATAAAAAGTTTTGTAGTACCTAGGTATTACGAGAACAGAAAATTATGAACTTTACTCAGGTTTCGTTCCTTTGTCAGAACTTGAAGGGGTTAAAGTTTAAGGTTGCAAAATAAAAAATGGAAATTTTTTTAGGAGATTGAAATTTGAAGAATTTCACGAATGAAATCATTGTCAAAAAAATTTGCACACTTCCAAAATGAGGCAGAAGAGCAGCCATCTTGATTCTTGTATTCACTTTTAATTAAATACTGAGGACATGATGATTTTCTGTCGCACTCTGAAAGTGTATAATGAAGGTGTAAGTCGGCAACCACATAACTTGGTTTGCGACATCGTAGACTTCCTGTCATACTTTATTTTTTAAACAGAAAACTACTCAGCGGCAATTCTTTAAAACTGCCATGATTTTTCTTCTCTGTGCGAAGAAAATTCTGCAAGAACTTCAAGGAATGATGTCAATTTGTTCTCCTTTAAAAAAATAACATTCAGGAGATTTTTAAACACCACAAATGAGATATGTGATGATAAGCTTAGTTGGCATGGACTCTGAATGAGAAAAATCTTACTTACCTATCTAAAATAAGAAACCATGTTCAAATAGAAATTGCTTGTCTTCAACCTCATATGGCAGCAAAATATGTCACTTCTAAATCTATTATTTTCCAAATTCCCATATCGGAGAAAAACTATGAGGGAAACAGTGAACTCTGCTCATTGCATACTTTCAAAAGAAACAATAAAATTTTATTTCACAAATTTTCCAACACACAAAGCAAAATACTTTTTTAGAATACAGACACTGAGAGGAAATGAGTTAAGATGATTAGAGGCCTACCTTTGAAGGGAATCTTCTCCCAACGTGCTAAGTTTTTCTTCAGGGCATCGAAGTCAATGTTTTCATCTTTATCGAAAGGCGTCGGCAGGGCAGGGAAAATTCCATCAAATGACAAATTGCGTTTTTGATGTGGTTGACATAGTGTAGTTATTCCAGACATCGTTGGCAAATAAGATCTTGGACTTTTGTGCAGCAATAGATGTGAACAAACCAAATAAAACATATCTGTAAGAACAAGTAGAGGTGTATAAAAATTGAATTGGGAGATTAAGTATAGAGGTATTAGAAAATCAATTTCATCAATATACGTGAATTTTAGGAAACTATACCATGAAATATTTTTTTTCTCTGATATGATCCTAATTTTTTAAAGTTAAAATTTTCTCCTGAGATAATTGATGCTAGAGATGGTGGTTATAAATATATATTGGGTATTGAAAATATCATATTTACTTTCTTGAAGTACTTAGGTATAACATTAAGTTAACCCATCGGTTCAAATAACTTTTCACTTTTAAAAAACAATAAATTTTGTCCTTACCGTAAACCATACAAAAAGTGCTAAATTTAAGGGAAACTCAATTTCCAACAGCGATGTCTTTAGATTTATCATGAATATAGATTCGTCTAGTGAGTTCTGACAGTAAAAAATGGTTATGAACATTTAAAACTTTATTTTCCTTGAATTTAAGCTCTTATTTGGGGTCTACAGTAAGGACAAAAAGTCTAAAAAAAGTAATAAGTTATTTGAACCAACCATAACGCACTGAAGGTGTCCAGTCAGCAGGGCTCTTCTTCTTTAAGGGTTTCACTACACTTCTCTTCCTTTTGGATGACTGCTCCCCTTTTTAAGCGATATTGATATTTTATCAATATTTTGGAATATTGATAGTTTAGACCAAAATATCGATAATATCGTAATGATATTTCAACATCAATATATCGTCCGTGTCGATACATTTATCTCTAGAAATATTGAATCGATTTTTCTTTCTTTCTTCTACTTAGTTGTGTATTTTACACACAGTTTTGTGGGTAAGGAAGGAAACTTTGAAGGATAGAACTTCTATCTCACAGGGATTTGTTCACTATTTTTGCAGCAGCCATTCTCATGAAATAATGGTGGAGATAATCGGTATATTTCCTGGAAAAAATACAAAATCAGTAAAAATTTGCAACGTTGTTTATGAAGATGTGTGATTCCCATGTTAGGCCGTCGATATTTTGGAAATTCTGCCTAATTTAGGGGCAAATTTGCAGCAGGGCAAAGTGTTAGTAAAATATCGATTGTTAGGTTTGATATTTGTGAATATCGATATTTCAGAGCTCGGTGATTGATATCTTTTTGGAAAAAAAAGCGATACATCGGAAATCGATGCAGTAGCGTCTACGCTGCTTGGCCTCTGATCTTGAATGCTCGACCTTCTCTCTGGAGTATAAAAGCTCATCAGTATGCTGTATTGAGAGATTGCCCAACCGACTGATTTAGTTCAAGCTTGATTGATCACTTAGTCCCCATTCACCCTACATATATTCGTTGGGCGATTCCCTTAGCCTGGCGGGATTCTCGTCAAGCAAGCTACCCACGGGAAATCATGGGTTCCTCTCCCTTCCCTGCGTCAGAGAGCTTTCTTGTATCTTCACCCAGAGTGCTAAGTATGTATCACGTACATCATAGGGTTTTCTCCTTTACATTCAGAGCACCATCCTTTTACCATGACAGGATGTTGCCTCGAAGAGGTCTTCAGTGCAGCCCTGGCATTACAGTGGTGTCCCAACCATAAATAACTTGGAGATCCATCTAACAGCAACAAGATTTGGCTAGAGGTCGTTCTCAAGTGGCCATTCATTGGCTATTGCCGCCACCCTGAAATTCAGACGCATGATTTGCAGCGACTATCTCCGTTTGGACAGTTTTGGAGCAAATATTTTTAGAAAGAAAAAAGGAAAAGGAAAATTTCTTGAAATGGTCTATTCTAATATGCCTGTATTTATTTGTTATGTGCATGTAAGTAGAGTGAATACTTACGACTTACAGGCGTGGGAACAGGCTACTTGACTTGATCTTGTGACTCAGCCTTTAAAATTAAGTATATTGGTGGGCACTGAAGGTATGGAGAACAATTGAAAACAAATTTCACGATTCAAATAATGAAACAAATATTGTAAATCAGGAAAGCTATAAGTGTATTGATGACAAGGATTTTTTTTTTTTAGCTACAAGTGCAATTGTTGATAAGGACTTTTGTTTTTTTTTGCGTATCTCAAAATAACGAACTGATAACAGTCATGTGTTGTCACTTCACTTCACATATCATCACAACACACCTCTTATCAGCGCACCTGCACAGTTTGAGGTTAGGATTTAGGATGGAATTGAAAACAAATAAATCGTCGGTGCTCATTGTGCTCATTATGTGCTCATCTGCAGCAGATTACTTTTTACTTTGTCCTAACATTGTATTTTATATTCTATGTCGATAGCGGCAATCAACCATTTAATTTCCGTCCATTCAGCAATTATTCATCTTTAGTGTGACTTTGAATTCGGTCTTCATCGTTCACTTTGTATGTATCCAGTGTCGAGATCCGCATCCTACCTTTTTGCGTACCTCTCATGACACACTCATAGTGATGCAATAGTTTTTCAAAAAGTTTCCTGTCCAATGATTTTTTTCATCGACTTCATCCAAGTTTCAACAGATTGATAGTATTGTACTTATCCAAATCCGCCAAAAATTCCTGACTCGCTGCCTCTACTTTTTAAAAGTTCAAAAACACACAAGGTGATACTAGCTCTCCTCAACTTCTGCCGGTGAAATCATGATTTTTGAATCCATCCGGGTATCCATGCTGTCAAGGCTCCGATTGCAGAATATGGTATGTTACTCAAGTAATGGTGTGTTACTCAAGTAAAACTTGCGGGTCATTCCGTTCTTCCTGTAGCCACATTGAGGATTTGGCCCCTTAGAATTCGAAGGCCTTCTGTGCTTTTATTTGACACTGAAAGTTTGCCAAAGCAGGGGTGCAAACAGTTCCTAGCCTTCCCATTTCTATAATTTTCTCTCCTCAAAATTTAATGTTTTGTTTAAAGTTTGCCTTTAATGGTAATGGTGTCTGATTGGGTCAGAAGAAATATCAGCAGCCTTCCGCCTTCTCTCTTTCTAGTAAAAGGGACTCAATGAAATTTTCCATAGGTAAATACTTTGCCAATATCTTGTATTATCCTCAATGGAAATCTTCTAGCATTTTTTTTTATGTATTCGGGACCCATTTGCAAGGTCTGAAAAGAAGCTGCATTTGAATGATATTTTGCTGCTAATGGCAGCATTAAAATAATGTGATCTCTTCTAACATTTCTCTTCTTACCCAAATGTTTGGTCAATTTTACAGGCGAAACAAGTTCGCTCAGAGTCTACAGCACAAGACCCTGCTGGACGACAAAGAGAACTGATGGCAAAAGGACTTCCCCAGAAGAAACCTATTTTAGGTGTCAAGCAAATACTACTAGTTGCATCCGGCAAAGGAGGTGTTGGGAAAACAACAACATCAGGTTATATCATTGAAATTATTTCGGTTTGTGTATTCTGAGGCAACAATATCGAAGGTATAAGTCGGGAATCACATAACTCGGTTGGCGACGTCGCACATTTCCTGTCATACTTTATTTTTTAACGGAAAACTACTCAACAGCAATTCTTTAAAACTGTTGTGATTTTTCCTCCTTGTGCAAAGAAAATTTGTGAAGAAAATGGGAAAAAATGCCAGATTTTCAGACACCGCAGACGAGATACGTGATTGCGGACTTACGCCGTCAATATTCTTTTTTTAGCCTGCATTCCAAGGTCAGTTGTTTGCAAAATTGCTAATTTTAATCAAGAGGTTTGTTAAAGATTTAAAACGTTCATCATGCTGAATTTTCAAAAGCATCAAATGGTGATTCAAGAAGGCCAATGGAATAAATAAAAGTTAAGTTAACATTAAGCTATTGGTAAGTAACCATAAAAAAATAAATAGGAATCCAAACCAGTATTGAAATCATTAAACTTCACCAATACAAAAGCAATTTGCATAAAGTTAAGCACTTGAAGCTTATATCATCACCATCTGGCCAAAGTATCTTAATAAGTGCCATTTCGCTCTGAGTTATGTATATGTTGCTGTTCATCTCAATATTGTTTTAATTTTTTCTTTAAAACTTTAGCACACACTTTCATTAAATTTCAGAGTTTAATATGGTTGAATCCTAATGTCAAATGAAATATTAGGAAAATTTTGAATTTTCAAGTGATACTGTTCATCAGTTCTTCTGTTAAAAATTTGATAGACAGTATAGTGCTGAAGCACAGATGACGTTTGTGGTACTTCGGCTGGAAGGTGATGACATGCTCTTACTACCACTTCATAGGTAAAGGGAATGAATTGATGATAAGCCTTCCAATAACATTAAACAAAATGCTTCCTCATTTAAAGACTTTTGTTCCATCAACATTTTACACTCAGTTTTAATGTGGCTCTAATACTTGCAAATCATATTTCAAGCTAAATATATTTTGGCAATTTTATCTGATTTTTATTGGCTTTAACTACCTATGGCTAATTTTACGTTTTCATTATGCCTCGTTCAGTGAATCTCGCTGTTGCCTTGAAAACCTTGAGCCCGCATAGAGAAATAGGACTATTGGATGCCGATGTGTTTGGTCCATCGGTTCCATTGATGATGAATCTCCAGTCTGAATCTCCACTCCTTACAGAAGGTTTGTATGGAAGCAATAAAAAAATGAATTGATCGACAAAGTTATGTCTGGAAAAATCTAATAATTCGTCACAGGGGCAAGCTTGAAAAGAAAAATCATTTATTATAGCGAACACCATGATCTGGAAGCTCTTGTTAACTTATATTTAATGTTGGAGGGTACATTCAGATGTGCTCCATATTGTAGAACATTTCTGGAAAAAGATTCTAAGCAAATGCTATCAAAATTTACGAAAGTTAGAAGAGTGTACATTTTTGCGATGGTCAATAGTTACAAGCCAGTCTGACAAGGGTCTATTCTTGTATTATGTAAGCTACTTAAGAGAGGGAAAGATCTGAGCTTGCCCTACTCGTCTGTGAAAGGGAGTAGGGGGCTCAAGTTCAGTCTGATGTAAGCCTGCCACTGTAAAAAATAAATAAGTACATACATAAATAAAGAAGTAAATTCCATCTAAAATAATTTTTTTAATTTTCTGGTCTTCTTGGTTATTCTCTGAAAAATTAAGGAGTCATATGTAATTTAGAAAGTGAATGAAAAGTTGTCTTACGATGTACCTCAGAAGGTTACAAGATACCTCATAAGGCAAGGATAGTGTAAAAAAATAAGCCAATAAGCCTTACATAATACTTGACCTGAGCCCAACATAGTTGAAGGCAATTAGCAAAATGGGAATGAGGATGTGCCGGGCCTGTGCTGCCAGTTCCCCCAACCCTTTTCCAGTTCCCCAAAATACTTACATTGCTCTCGAAATCTTGATCTCGAGAAGCTGTGAATTCTGCGGAAATGCTCTGCAAGTCTGGAAAATTCAGTTCCAGATCCGGAATTTCAAATTATTTCTCGAAATTCGACTGTCCAAGTATATTGAACTTACATTCAGGCTACTATTGACCATTTTGGTGTCGGCAAAGAAAGGCGTACCAGATATTTTGGAGGAAAATCAGAAGCTGTATTGCTGTAGTCAAGTAAAAGCAGTCGCTTATCATAGACATTTAAGTATGACTCTTTTTTTCTTTTCTACCTGTTGCAGATAATTTAATGAAACCACTTATCAATTATGGTGTAAAATGGTGAGTGACACCCATTCAACTTGATTTCAAACGTAACATCTTAGGTGTGATAAAATGGCTTTTTTCAACTGATCACTGAGAATCATTAAAAGTTCATGCTTTGATTTTTGTAGATCAGGACCTGGTTGGTATTTTAGTGGGAGATGTATAGTAATTGTGGTGTTTCAGAATTTCCATGCCTACCTTTCTTTTAAGATAATATTAATGGACATTCTTGTATAGTAGCGTCAGATATTATTTTTCAGTAGAAAAAGGAAAATAATGTGAAATAATAGACCTGAAAATTTTAGTTTTTCTTAATTAAAATGGCAGTGGTAGAAATTTTGCCATTTGTGAGCAGGTGAGACATCGTAGGTAAAACTGTGAATCTCAAAGACGTATCTCGGTTGCAGTGTATCAAAATCTCTGTTCATATTTTATATTTTACAAAAGGACATCTAACCAAGATCATAGCTTGAAATTTTCATCGAATTTTGTTCATATAGAGAAAAAAAGTAAATTTAGTTCTCAAGAAACAATGTTTACTAGTTTCCACGTTGAGTATTAAGTATGACAGGAGGTTTGCAATGCTGCAAACTGATATACACATTTCTGCAGTTTTACCACCGATCTACAATTTTCTGGTTTTTTCATCGATATAGAATGTTTGCTTTTTTACTCAGTCTTTGCCAATTTTCTGTGAAGACTAAGTTTTTTTTTTGCAGTGAAAGGCAGACTCATTTGGCGGCTCTTTAAATGGAAAGCTTCCTATCAAACTTCTGTTCATGCAATGCCACAGGAGAGAAAATGCTGGTTTAGGGTCGCATCCACCACCTTTGGACAAAAACTTCTCGTCAAAGCAAAACTGTCAACCCTTCTTTTGGGGGTTCTGAGGCTTTTATGATACATTTAATGATCTGGATGACATTTTCGGTCATAGTAATTAGACATTTTGGAACTAAAAGTTGTAACCTCTGGTTAAAACTTAAGCGGCACCCACAGTGCTTACTTTTTAATCAGAGAATATGTCACTAACAAGAGGTGAGAGAACTGGGCCTTGATCAGAATAGATGAAATACAAGTTACAATAAGTGATATGCATGACTTTTTCCACAGATACTGTAAACCTCTCCCTGTTATAAAGTCTAAGGGTTGAAGTTAGTTTTCTGAAGTGAGAAAGGCATTCTTCCTTCAAACGTGGTTTTCTCTCGTGTAACTATTGAATCCTATTTTCAGCATTTCAATGGGCAACCTTATAACAGAAAAATCAGCCGCAATTTGGAGAGGTCTGATGGTAATGCAAGCACTGAATAAACTGACACGAGAAGTTGCATGGGGACCAGTTGATTATCTGATTGTTGATACTCCACCAGGAACGGGCGATACTCATTTATCTTTGGTTCAGAATTTTCCCATAGCAGGTGTTTAGTACTCCCACGATTCTTCTTACCTCAGTGTCACTTGAAGAAACATAATTTTTAGCAGGCAGCTGCATATAAATATCATTTTGAGTGTCTCTGCTGAAAGAAAATACAATATTGCGCTCTCTACTGATGTCAGGCTTGGACTAAGAACCATGCAATGAGCCTTAGTCATTGGTCATAGATCACGAATATGCATGTTATTTGGAATTATGTACACATAAAGAAGGAAAAAACACTTAACATGTGGCCTGAATACTATAAGCATTAGGATGGTAGAGGAGTATTAGGTTTGCACCATTCTGAGGGGAAGTAAAAGCCAGAAAAAAACTAAAATTTAGAATCAGGGACACAAAATGAACTCTGATGAGTTTTAGTGCAAGACTGAGGGGAGAGCAATGACATCAGGTAGGTGGATTGGAATACTTAGCTAGGGTTCTGCTGAGAGATCTTCACCAGTTTAGCTCTTTTTGAGCTCATCAGCTGATCGCATTCAGTCAGTGAGCCCAGCCAAGAGAGTGATTTTCTGATGAGCTTAAAAAGAGCAAACCCAGTGCATGTCTCTCAACAGGACCTCAGTTGAATATTCTGATGCGCCTGCTGGAGCAGATTATTATCCTCCCTCAATCTTGCACTAAAACTCATAAGACTTCATTTTGTAACTGTGATTTTAATTTTTGGTTTTTTCTTGCTTTAATTTCCCTTCAGAAGAGTGTATAAATAATATGTTCAAAAACCATTCCCATAAAATTAGAATACACAAATTGAGATAAGTTAGTTAGTCGTCCCTCAGCATGCAACGAAAGGTCTCAAGCGGAATTTCCTTAAGTAAAACAGGCCTTCCTAATTATGTTTGCGATGAGTCACAACTGCAGTTGAGTTTGTTCCAGGTCTTTGGATTGGCCAGTCATGCAGTCTGAATAGACCGACTGATTTTAAAAGTTGTGCATAAGCACAAATGAATCTCTGACCTTTGGATCATTTTTTTTAAAAAGAATAAAACGCAAAATTATAAATGATTGATTTTTCATTCTGCGCAAAAATCTACCACCTAATTTTGTTAAAACTCACGAAGATAAAAAATAAAAACAAAACTGTAACCATAAAAAAGTTGAAGCAGTATGTGAATGCTAGTATAAAAAAAAGAAAGAAACAAAAACTAAAATAATGTAAAATGTTTTCATATAAATCCTTCCCAGTTGTCTCTCGACTGGTCCCACCCATGGCTAAAGGAAATCACTTGTTTACCATTTAAATTGTTTCAGGAGCCCTCCTAGTCACCACTCCTCAATCAGCTGCGCTTCAAGTTACAAGACGAGGACTTACCATGTTTGAAAAACTGAAAATTCCAGTCGCTGGCTTGGTAGAAAACATGAGTTGTGTCGTATGTCCAAACTGCCAACACACCACTCAGTTGTTTGGTGACAAAGTGAAAGCTTTTGCAAAAACGCATAGTAAGTTGTTCTGCTTTTTTTCTTCGCTTTACGGTAAGTTATGGCTCAGAAAACCTGGTTTCTTTGGAATCAAATTATTGAGAAAAGTGTAGAATAAATTCATCATTTGCGAAGAGATCTAGGAAGATTTGTCATTAAATCTAAGATTTAAATTTTGTAAAAGTCTACATTAGTCTGTACAGAGGAGCAAATTTTGTTGAGTTGGGTTGACAAATCTGATTCTTGATTGGTTTGAAGTTTGAACACACCTGACAATGAGCCCTAATCTGCTTGAAATGGCTTTGTTTAAAGCTTTTTGAAGAAAACATAGTTCAAGAACACAAAAAAGTTAGCATCAGCTGTTGTAAAGATGCCTGACAAAGAACACCTTTAACCATTAAAACCTTAATCTGAGATGATTACCTATCTACTTTACTTTTTTTTGATTATAGGTTTGAATATTCTAGCAAAAATTCCCCTGGACCCGTCAGTCGCTAACTCAAGTGACGAAGGAACACCCATCACTGTTCAGCAACCTGATTCCGAATTAGTAGGTCTTTCACTACATCATTTTTTCATGATATATTTGTATTCGAATGAGGCTGTTGCAAGATCCAGGAATTAAAAATGGTTTGAAAATAGGTGATTCTGCAGTAAATTTTAGGGAGAAACACATGGCGGAGCCTCTTTAAGCTCAATACTTCTTTCTTGACTGAAGAAAAAATAAGGTCGATTAAAAGCTAGAAAGACTAAGATTAAGATGAAATCGTGAAAAGAACGTTTCTCATTGGCCAGAAGCTTTTGACGTCATAATCGTAATTCGATGAACCTTGGTCTCGACCACCTCGAATCCATAGCCGTCGTACAAGTCAAACAACAAACAAGCAAGTTGAATTAAAGATAAACCAACAAAATTATTCACTTCAAAACAATAATATTTTGAGCACAGTCAATATACCCTATCTCTCAACGTCAATTTCAATTTATGGCTAAAGTTGAAAAATGCGCATCTTTGATTGAGACATGGACATACTCCACTAATGTTTTCTTTTCTTTTACAAGAAAACTAACCAATAGTTTTTTTTTTTTTTTTTTAATTTCCTCATATTTTCTTTACTCATTCAAAAATATCCCTTAGATTTTAAGTATAAGACACATTTTGGTTATTTGAAAAAATATAGCATAATTGGTGATTTTTAAACGTTGCAATTGAGTTAAGAATTTTGTTACCTTAGCAGTTGACATAGGGTGACGCATATGGTTAGCTTTTAGGAAGTATCAGATTAAAATTTAACCCTCTTCTATCTCTGCCCTGTTACAAAAAAGAGCATCTCGAAGCTCATCCCATACTGCACTTTCAGCTCTCTTACGTAACGTGGCAGATCTTCAGTCTTCAATTTTGCTGATGAAGTTTGTTTCGGTTTTCAGGCAAAAGCTTACCTCAAATTAGCTGCCCAAGTAGAATCCTTTCTCGCTGACAGGGCCTCAGAAAACCCAACATGATAAACCATCCTGGAAAGAGATTTGAATTCATCAGTTCCAGAGAATGTTGATGGTCTCATCATCTGTCAATGGAAAGGGAAAATGTTTTATGTAGGTCTCTGACTCATTCGGTGTGCTTCAATTTCTCTCCTTAGTGATTCGTTGGAGCTTCATGGACAAGTTTCTGATGGGAAAAGAAGGAGAAGAAAAAAGATGACACTTTTTGAAGCCACTGTTCGAAGACAAGCGACTAACTGGTGGTTTAAGTGATTTTGACAACTGTCCTAAGTTTTCACACAAATAAGGTTTTGGCCTTGAACATTAAAAACAAGTTACAGCAAGACAAGAACTTGGAGAACAAGATTCAGAATTATGAACAATTTTGGCTGAAAAATTTACGTCAATTCTTAATAAAAAGAGAACAAGTATGAACGTGTGTAGAACGGACTTACACTGATTGGCTCGTATGCCAGCATAAGACTGCATGGAAAGTTTGTGTCTATGTGCTCTGTCAATGTGTTGGCAATAGACAGTCCACCTCCTAGTTTGGGCAAACAAGCTCTGTCACTGTCTTAGAGAGAGAAGGACCTACTGCTATGTAACAACTCAGGGACTTTTTTCCGTCATAATGCTTTGATGCAGCTGCTCTATGAAATTGACAAAATTGAAAGATTTACCGTTATTAATTCTACTGAGAGAACATCAGAACAAAGTTTATGTCAGAACAAAGGAGCATTGCAATTATGCGGAATTCTCATCTCAAGAAAATACATGTCTCAATTTCTAGGAAAAAACTTAACCCTTACTGTATGAGTCAAGAGTAAATCAAAACCACATCTCCTCTAGCAGAACTTGTTTTTGCAAAAAAGTATAAAATTGTAGAGCAAATATATTTATACATTTGTGAATGTACGCATATCATTAAGACTCAATGTTAAGGATGAAATTTTAACTTAATCTGGAGAAAGACTGCTGCAAAATACATGAGATCATACACACAAAAACCAGGATATAACGAGTTAGTTACAACCTCATTTCCAACCAGAAAAAAGAAAGCAAAAACGAATATTAGATATGCTGTTATTGCAAGACTGACTTTCTGACCAAATGTCTTCATCTCACAATTACAGCGAATAGACGACTTGAAAATTTGAGCGTCCCAGTTTTTCTGATTCTGATCTTTGGTATTTTGCAACAGTCGCTCTCCGGACTAAGATGCTATTTTAACGCACTTTTTGGCTGATTAAATTATTCTTCACTTTACATAGTTAAGGATAAAGTTTATCAACGAATTTCATGTCAAAATTATTATTTCTCGACTTTGAATTGTTTGTCAGTGACAAGTCACATTTACTTGAGCTCAAAATACTTCTAACTCATTGTTTTTCCAGAATCCGATTTGTGCGTTCTGTTAAACCTGGTTCAAATAGTACCCTTGCGTTACTCCTCCGTCAGTAAAAGAATCTCACAAATAAATCGTTCGTGATAGTGATTCATGCCTTAGTAGTAATATTCACCCTTATTATGCTTTAACTCTATTTATTCTACCACACCCAGCTCAAAAACAGAATGTATTGAGATTATTATGTGTGCAAAATGAACATATTAAGATGAAAACTCAAGGGTGGACTTCAAAATACCTTCAGTATTCAGGTAGAAGCATCGCATAACACAAAGAATATTGAAAAATATGACTTGTGTCACAACTTTTATTCTTCATAGTATTGATAGTTACACATCAAAGGTTTCCATTAAACTGCCGGAGTGTTAACTCTCAAATAACTGTCATAATGACCTTCATCCTTTTAATTCTTATGTTTTTTTTTTCTTCTTTACGTATAAATCTGCTACTTCATATAAGGATTCCCAAATATATTTGACAGGATGCTTTGCTAGGAATGATGGACTGAGAGCTCCTACCAAAAAAGGCCCTGGTTTATTTTGTGTCACTCAAGACTGGCGAGTGGCAAACCTTGCCCTCCATTTCAAGAGAACCGAAGATAACCATCAGGAAATGACCAAGCCGGTTATTGAAGAATTGACTATGATGATTGGCATGATTCATCTTCAGATAATTTTTGGTAGTTGTCAACTACTCTGCCGTTAAAAAAAATTTCTCTTTGAAGTTTCAAAATTGATGAGTTGTTCGAGGTTTTGTTACAAAAAATATATCTCATGCACCAGTGTACACTGATTGAACCAAAACTTTTTAATGCTGTAGTTTCGGCAGGTGCCTTTATGCAGCGCGGAGGGATTCTTTGAAAAAAGAAAAGCAAAGCTTTATCAACATAAAAAGGTAACTCTAACTTTATTTGTAAGCTTAGATAGTCAAAATTTACATTGCTTTTTGATGAAGATAGAAAGTTCCTTCGTAAGAATTGCGGTACATGAAGTATCAAAATGATGGGATAAAACAATTCTGAAAAATAAATATAGACCTAAGAACAAAAGAGCGAGGGGAATAGTAAAAATAAGCGTGTATACACAAGAAAATGAATGAGACGTCTCTCATATAAAGTTCTTTTTGTCACTTAAAATTCATGCAAAAACAAGTGAGAATATAGGGATGTTTCATGTTTCAAGGGCAAAAAGGAAGAGGTCTGCTGAATAAAGCTGTTTCCTGGAAGGAAGCGAGTAATTCTATAAAGTATGATGTAGATTCTATTTGTCTTGGTAAGAGGGATATGTTTCTAAAAAGTTTTAAAATTTACTAGCATTAGAAAATAGGCATGATCCTTGAATTCAATATCCTAGATTTGCTACTGAAAATAGCAGCTTGTGACTATAAAAAAATATTTCAGGAGGATTCAAGACAAACTTGATACAGCAAAGAAACAACCATGCAGTATGGCTCAAATCATAGAATTCTTGTAAACCAACTGTGAGAATTAAAAAAACTTCATCAAATTGTGATTTGTACCTCCATGTTTACAACCATACGTCAGTCTTAGATAGGTTCTTTTATCAAATTAAAAAATTGAAAAAAAATGAAAAAGAGATGAATGTGAAGATAAATTCAGCCAGAAGTTCAAAAATCTTAATACTTTATGGAGAAACAACTTTTTGTGTTCAAAACGGTTTCCAGATCGTCAAAATTTTCAAAGTTAAACAAACATTTTGAGCCAAGGTCCAATTTTGAAAAAAATGACTTGAGCTATTCCAAAACAAGACTAGATTCAATGAAACAGGTTGACAACGGGAATAGGTGGTATGGGATTCTTTGAATTGTCGCTCATTAACTGGGACCCGGGAGTAAGGAGGGAAAACTCGCGTTGTAAAGCTAAAAAAAAGGATTTATCGACGTATTAGTCAAATACTACTGTCCACAGCCTCAAATCCATGCAAGATTCAGCAAATGCTGCTTGCAACATGTGTGCGAAGTAAAATTGATTGTAAAATTCTTAATGTTCAGTATTTGAGAGACATTGTCAGGCAGCAGGCCATAAACTGGACAGACTTAGCCATAATCATCGTAACAGAAAGAGACGTTGTCTAATTTTCTCTTAGGTTGTATTTTTTTGACAGAAAACTGCGCAACATTTAAATTTGAAATTTTTTGGATATATTCTTCGTGAGTGAGGGAAGATTCAAGGAAAGTTTCGAGGCAATACTTTAGTTTAGTAATCTCGTAAACGAAATAAAACAGGACATTTCAGAATGGGCAATTTCCAAGTTTTACAAGACCATTTCACTGAACATTCCATCATGCATCATGTTATGTAAGGGAACATACTTGGATCTAGAGTTGGAACTTAAAGTTCTGGTTTTGCTAGTAGTTGCATTTTTTTTAATCATAATGACCGGCTGCCCTTAGTCGCATTAAATATTGCCACATTGGAGATTTTTCTTTCATGACATAAAAAAGGTGGCTACATTGGAATGTTTTGCAGACTGTAAAGTTACGAGGAGGGTCTGGGTCTCAAAGGCTAGATTACCTAAGTTTTGTTAAATCTGATGTGTGGATAGGGAGCGATTTTGAAGCGCAAACTTAACTTACACATCAACGTTTATGTATTCACAAGTTTCTACTTGCTATTTAATAAGGCATGATTAGACTCCCTGACAAAATGCCATCGTTGTAAAATCTACAGCACCACAAGGAACTGCAAATTTACTTCGAATTGACAAAATTGAGTGTCCTAATAGTTTACTTTTACATTCAAATAGTTGGAAAGACTATGAAGAGAGTCAGAAAAAATACCCTGGAAGAAGTAATTTACAAGGGTCATCAGTGAAGTAAGGTTAACTATTTTTTCATATATTCCAAACGAAAATAGATGCATAAAGCAGTGCTTATCAAGCTTACTCTTAGCTTTAAACAAGCCACAGTTTTTGAAACTCTGTCAAGGAGTTTGCAAAGAAACTAGATTTTATTAGAACAAATCCCATTTCACATGCTCACCTCCTGTTATTTTAGCGAATTTCACTCAAGTTCTCCAATCGTTTTCTTAAAAGTGTGCTTCAGTGCAATTTGTTGGTGTATTAAATACATTTTCTCTCACTGATTTGATTTATCTTCTTCCTATTGGAATATATAAACCAGGGAACCTTAACTTACAAAAATCCCTTGTGCTACAGATAGTTTATGCCTGAGTGTTCCTTAAAAATGAAATCATGAAGGATAATATGTGAAATGAAAAAATTGTTGAGAAATCCTGATCAGAACTTACAAAATTATTAATACCACATTATTAATTATCATGAACGATAAATGTTACTAAAAGTTAAAAATTAGTTAAAACGCCCTCAAAGTTTAAAATTCTGGCCATTCCCTGCTTCCCAATAGAAACTGTCAAGTGTATGAAAATCTTTATGAACAATACAAAGTCCAAATCGTAAAAAAAAATAAATCTAATCATTATATTTTTACAAGTTTTTTATGCAAATTAGTACCAAAGAGAATAGCAGAAAATAATCTTCACCTCTTTAGATCATAGGCGGAGTGGGAAATAAAGAACAGATTAGACTTCAATGTTCAGCTCTTACGGACAGTATAGTTGCTGCGGCTGAGTAGAATCTTAAATTCAGTGAGGTGACTAGTTTGGTTGGGTTTTTTTTTCTACAGATACGCCTGCTTAGAAATACTGGAGGTGGACCTAGATGATCGAAGCTGAGCTTAACTGGAACTGCTCACAGGAAACATTGTACAACCAAGAGACAGTTTGAATAAACAAGTTAAACTCGTGTACGAATCGAGAAAGGTCCTAAAATATCAAAGGCACAAACAAATAATGAGACTCGCATGGGAAGAACAGGAGGTGTTGGCTGGTTCAAGATTTTTTGCGACTTATAGGTGAACAAACATCACTGGAGACCAGAAAGAAAATTAATAATACTGATGTTCAGATGTTTTTATACAGTTTGATTCGATTTTCTGGCCTTTAAGATAAAAACTTTGATCCATTTTGTAGTGTTGTGTTCTTTTCTTCTTTTCTAAGACTGGAAATTTAATGGTGTAACAAATGACCTTATTAAATAATGGGCAAAATGAATACCACCTCCTATTTTTCAATGCAAGAGGGATTAATCATTCAGCCAGTTCCTACTTTTTTTGGTACCCATTGTCATGGGTACCCGCCTGGCAATGGTTGCCGGAAAAGTTTGTTGAAACATTGCAGCAATGTTACTTGTACCCTTGGCCGAAAATAATGTTAAGGCAGCCATTGCCAGGTAGGTATACAACGGCAAAAGTAAAACAAAAGAGATTTTGGATGGTCTCATCTCATCTATCATAGAGACTACGAGCTTTGCCTGGTGAGATATGCGTACACGAATTTTTACTAGCTTATAATGCAAAAGTTATGTTGATGTACCTAGAATCAAGGACTTCATATTCCAGTTAAAGGCCACCACAAAGTGCTCTCATATTTAAGGCAGGAAATGTTTCAATCAAGAGCCAGTTCAATCACAGAGGTGGCATGACGGAGGCAAGTTACAAATAATTCGACATTAATTAATACTATTTTTTAATAAAAAGTTAAAATAACAAAATTGAAAATCCTTGCAAAAGAACGGATAGATTTGAATATAATCACAACATAAAATGTTTCTTCCTCGAGAGACAGATGCTCAGGGAGAGAAAAGCAAATCTACAGTAGAATTTCAGTTTACCAAACAAACTCGGAGATTTTTACTTGGTTGTTGTGTTCTGTTTTTGCTCTTGGTTGCAGCTTGATCTCAGTAACCAAGCACAAACACTCTGACAAGAAAACAGTGGTTTTAAGGTTACTGGAATCTTGATTATTGATTCTAGGAGAAACTCTCAAATGAGGGGGGGGGGAGGGAAGAAACCTCAGGGAGTGAACAATACACCTGTCGGAGAAATTTCACAGAAAGAGAGAAAGAAATAAATAAAAAAAAAAAGTTTCACAAATTTTCTGGGAGTCTTGATTTATTTTTTTAAGCCCGTATCATACGATCAAAGTAGAGCTCTCAAAATGGCGTCACGTGGGGTCATGTGACCCTCCATTGCCCTCAAATATTCTCGGGCCGGGAGTCTTTGAGGGTCACGTGACCTTACGTAACGCCACTTTGAGAGCTCCACTTAGATCGTCTGATACTAGCTTTACACATTGAGAGCTTAACAGGGATCAAGATAACTTCAGGTGATACAGAATGGAACTATGAAAGCCTTCACATGTCTTCGGAAAATGGAGGAAAAAATTTCCTTTAGAAGGGCCCATGGTTTAATGAACTCAGATTTTTCTTGCATGCTATATTGGGATATCGACAGCCAAGCTTGAAACATACTGACTTTCATGCAGTCCCGTAGGATCCAAAACTGAAGTTCTACTGAAGAATGAGTACACAAAAAAGCAGTCAATTCTTCTGACAGAATAGACATAACAGTTAAAAAGTAAGTAGACAAAAATATTTTCACTACGATTCTTACCATTATTTGCGCTCAACAGAGGTTGAATTCAATCAACTAAGTTCTTATTTATAAAAATAACCACTGAATCCTTCCAAAAAAGAAGTTCAGAGACTAAAATTAAGACACTGCACTCTTAGTTAATTTTTAGTGCTTCCTTTCCACTTTTTATTGCTCAATGCTAGTAAGTAAATTTTTGAGTTCATAAAGACATTAACAGATTTATCGTTTGTCCCACCTCTATAAAGCAATAATTGAGAGGTTGGTGCTGCTGAATAGGATATAATCCAAATTCTAAGATTTAAATTATGAATGAGGTGGACTTTAATAAGATCTAGCATGGTGAAAACAATACTGCATTTGTTATACATTGAGGATGACTAAACATTTGTATGTAGTTAGCACAGACAGCGTACACATGAACACTTCACACTTTTTTGCACTAAAACTTCGATGCATGGAGCTGTTTTTATAAACTAATCAAAAAGTTTTCTACTGCTCACTCCAGTCCATAAGTTTTTCGATTTCCGTCCACTATTGTATCAAGCTGTGTTGATTGAAAAATTTACATCAAACTTTGTTGATTGCAAAGCCTCTCGTAATTATATTAGTCTGATTTTCTGTCAAATGATGCAAAACTAGTTCCTTGTCACTTCTCAACATTTAGACTTCACAATAAAATAACGATAAATACAAAATAATATTTACAATGTTGACAAATATCAGTCATGATACATAGTTTTGTCTCTAGTTATCAGTTTGTAAAAAAACGGTTCCATAGCTGTGAACAAAAAGAAACAAAAAACAAAATGAGTGAGTCACAGCTAATTTTTCCAATTTGTATTATGGTTAGAGGAAAAACCATTCAAGTTTTGTAAACTAGAGGAAAAGGCATCCTCGCACACTATTATGAATTGCTATGCTATAATTTCATCGCATGTAACCGGATCTCTCGGAGGAAAATTTTCCCAAACTTTAAGCACATGCACGGGGGAGGAAAATCTGGGAATTTCGATTCAAGTTTGACCCTAAGATATCAAAAACTGAAGGAGAAGGTAGTCCTGAAATTCCAAAATAAAAAAATTTAGTTTGAAGAAAGTGCTTAAAGTGTTTCAAAAGGTTGAGAAAAATGTTCTCCTGGAAAATGAGGGCCTTTTTGACAGATCAGGTCACGTATTTACTCTTAAATTTTAAACGTTTTCCGGTGCAGCCATTTTATAATAGAAAATCACCCGTTCAGTGAACAAGACAACCGGAAAAATTGTAGTGAATGAATTCATGAAAGGTGTGAAGGTTTAGAGCAAACAAAGAGACCCTCAATGCACCAGGGGGGAGAGTGATCTTTCATTCTCCAAAATTCTGTTCGCATGTCAAAGAAAAATGTTTTAATTCATTTTTAATACCTTAAAAAAACTTGAGCAGGGGTATAGCAAAGAAAAAGCAAATAGTGGTGACAAGAAAGTCATCTTGAGATTTTTGTTATGGAGACATGCACCCACTATGCTTCACATTTGCTAAGATCTGCAGATCACTAGATCGGTTAATTTTTGCACAATTGAGCTCAATTTGCATGCGCTCATATATTCTGTTCAGCACTTTGGACAGAGAGTGTTATGAATGCACGTTTGTGAGAACTCACCATTGTCAAAAAGTGTTAGCAACAGCGATTTAATCGTTCCTCTGTTTTTCGGTTGATATCAATTCGTGTCGATGTATCCATTGCTTCCCGACCAACTGTCTTGTCAAGGATTGCTGAGGCCAGATCTGTAAAAGCTTTCTCGATATTGATATTCGTTTTCGCTGATGTCTCCATAAATCTGATTCCATGTTCTCGGGCAATCTGTTTCAGGACATCATTAATTTATTTAGTAAGATGTGATGTATCTTAAATATATAAACACTATCCAAAAATAATAACAAAATTGATTTAAGAGAGTATATGGAGGGTAAAGGATATGTAATCAACTTATTATTTCTGATTGTGAGACTAAAAGTAAGAAGTCTTTCACAAACACTTCTGGAAAAATTATTTGATCAAAACTTTGAACATTCCACATTTGAAAACAATACATGTGAGAAGTTGTGCTATTAATTCCAGGTATCATTAGGTTGAGGATTTTGGATTATTCTAATTGCCAATTTGTCAGAATGTCTAAAACCTCCAGCAATTAATCCAGTCCTAAATTTTTACATGACTGTATGAAAACATTGTACGGATGGAAAAAAGAAGATGTACAAATTAGAAAGTGTAGCCGCAGTACAAGATGCCTGACATGAACATTCTTCCCCCTCACACTGATACTCATGGGAGTTCATATTTTTGCATAGAGCAAAATAAGGAGGTGGTCCCATTTTGGAGATCTTGGATTTTGTCGATGAAGTAGGTTGGTATCAGTGGCGAGGCGTGCTTTGCAATATATCGATATTTCCCCATTTGAAGTGGTGGTAAATAATCAATTTTTAAGGTGTTCGCTGCAAACACCCTGTTTATCGATACTTTTCCATAGGTTTAAATGACAGATCAATCGATATGCAAAGCACGCCACGCCACTGGTTGGTGCGGACAGTTTTTATGATCAATTTTCTTGAAAATGGTGTCATTTACGAGAAAATGTCATTCTACGAAAAGAGTTGCAAATTATACTTTGAGTTGATTTAAGCGAAAAAAGATGGATGTTATGGTCCGCTTTCCAAACTTCGGATTTTGCTGGAATACAGATACCATATTGTACCAACCTATGTCATGGTATAAACAAACCTGACGATGCAAACACCTCCTGTTTCATTCTCTGTGATATTTTTGACTCTGATGAAAATTTTGGCCCTTGATTTTCTTGCAGAATAGTGCAGACCTAGCATTATTCTACCCTTCTATTACTTATAGTTTGGGCCACATTTTTGGTGTTCTTTTCTTTTTTTTAAAAAAAAATAAATAAATACTCAGGTACATATAAAAATATGAAAATAGAAAATTAGAAAAAAATATAAAAATTACGTAATAGCAAAAAATACAAGTAAAAAAATGGGAAAAAATCCAAAATTAGAAAAAATATGAAAAAGGAAAAACAATTTAAATAAAAAATAGTCTTAGCTTTTAGCTTTAGCAACATTGTTGAATTCCAGTAATACTTCATTTTATTCATTAAAGACTTCTCAACATCAACTTTTGAGACTTTTTAGGATATTTTTTCAGCATATGAAGAATATTCCACAAAAAATTCAGTGGACAGTAATGATTTTTTACCGGGGAAAAAAGAAAAATACCAAGAAATGAAAATTTAAACTGCTACCACTGAGATTCTGATGGGCAAGTTTAATGATTCATTTATTTCTGGACAAAATAAAAAAAAGCCCAAAAATTCTGCTATCCAGTTTCCTTGAGAGGAGGGGGGTATAGGACAAACATGAACTTGAGACAATTTTCCTCCTTAAATTCTTATGGAAACATAAAACCAAAAACTGATAGGTAGAGGAAAGAAATCACTATAGACCGTATTCGATACGGGTTCGATGTATCGTTTGGTTCAAAACAATAGAACATAACCTCAAACCAAATTGTGGAGATTTGAGTTGGAAAAGCTGAAGATGAGAAATTTCCTGACAATTTCACTTTGCATTGGCATTTGGTACTCAAAAGAATAAAAAATCTGTTACAAAAGACCCGTTCTTTCAGATTTCTGAAGTTACTTTTGAGGCTATGTTTATGTTTTGAACCAATCGATATCGATAGAATCTCACCCGTTTGATGTATCGAATACGATCTATAAAAAAAAAAAACCCTCCACTGAAAAATGCAGATAAATACACACAGGAAGCTACCTCGTTCCCAATGCTCCTAGGTCACCTTATTGACTCATCTTGTAGGGACAGCTCTTATCACTTGTTGGCAGGAAGTAGATGCGCTACGTAGATAGTAGTCTTCAACTTCCATCCCACTATTTTGCTACAAATGAGTGAGTAAGAGGGATCATTGACTCTTTACTCAAAAATCAGGAAGAGCAGGACGAAGCCTTTACATATCTCTCAAAAGAATTCAAAGCCCATTTTTGTATTTGTTCCGTTGCCAAATTTCGGGTGCATTTCTTAATTATTGAGGAGGAGATGATTGAGGAGGTAGGCGTGGGGAAACTCTATGAACTCTGGGAGCCTATATGCTGACAGCAACTTTTGCACTTATCATATACTGAGCAATACTTGGTTTTTTAATCTTTTTTTCCACTCTATTGGAAGGGATACTTCTTTAATAGTGCTTACCTGTTCACCCATTTCTTTCGTGACCATTCTTTCACTTTCTTTGTCACACTTGTTGCCTAAAATCATTCTTTCTACATCTTCATTGGCATGCTGAAAAAATCAAAATAGAAGTCAATATTGTAGTGGTGGTAATATCAGGCATAAGGTGAGTTATGACATTTTGCACAGGAGAAAACTCAGAGAAACTGAGGAAACACAAAATGTTGCTTTGCCCAGATATTTAGGTACCATAATTTTTCATGTTATGACTTCCCTCCTCACTTTCCAAATATTTATTTTTAAAATGCTAGAGATATTTTCAACCACAAAGATATAGGTTTGATGGTTCCTAGACTGCCTTCCAGCAGTTGTTCTAGTTTACACGATTAAATCGCAAATTGAACATTTTCAAGGTGTATGGGAGAGAGGAGATGTAACATGAGTGGGTATCTTTCCGGATAATGCAGAGGTTCAAAAGAGGTGATGTAAAAGTTTATTAAAAGTTTCAAAAGAAGAGATTGTTCAGCGGTAACTTCAAAGAAGAAATTTTTTTCTGCAGCGAAATTAAAATAAATTTTTTAAGAAAAATTAAAATTGATTTTGTAAAAGAAAGGGAAAAAAATAGGTAGCATGATTTCACCGATAATCTAAAATGGTGGATTTAGGGCGTAGTTGGTTTTTTATCCCTTACTGATTGAAGACAGAAACCGTTAGAGCTTTACAGTTTAAGGAATATTGTTTGTCTGAGAGGAATCCAAAATCTAGATACAGAAAGTTAAAAAAATATATGAATGCATACCTCATTAATATTTCGAGTCCATTTCATTACGTTTTCAAAACTCTTCATATCTGATATATCGTACACAAGTAATATACCCATTGCCCCTCTGTAGTATGACGTAGTGATGGTGTGGAATCTTTCCTGACCTGCTGTGTCCCTGCCAGAGAAAAAGAGGCGTTAAAAACATGTTGTACAAATTTTTTTATTCCTCAGATGCCATTCCAGTGAGAGAAGTTCCTGTTTTTCAACTTTAAAGTATACCATACAATCAAAAACATGGGAGGAACTCCTAAACCTCACTACTATTATGACACTTCCATGGTGCCCAAAGTAAGTTGGAACATTCAACAAAAGAGAAGACACATTTCTGCTGTTGTAGCATTAGAGTCAAATGAGTTGGGTGGAGGTTGTTTATTTTTATTTGCGCATAATTGTGCTATTATTCACAGCAAAACTGTAAAATATGCAATGTACTTCATGATAGTGACCCTCACTGCACGAGCGGTAGGTTGCCATAGTAAATAAGCAAAAACGGGAAGGCTAGCATGCTCCAGCTTGAAAATCATGTATTTCCCATTAAATTGTCATGAAAATCAGGACTTTCTTGCAACTCTCAATTGTGAAGTGCATATTTTTTTGGTTGTAAAATCACGACGATTTGTGTGCAAAGAGCAGGAAAAAAACAAAACATGGTAAGTTTCAAGGAAAAAGAGGATTCCAAAATGGGAAGGCTAGGAACTTGATGCATCCCTGCGACTGTCAACTTTGCCTAATATTTTGAAAGTGATTTTTTCTTTTGAATGGGATTGTCCTCTTTTGCATTTGATTCCAACAGTAGTTTTTAGCAAGAATGCAAGAAACAGAAAAAAATACGGAAAATTATCTGCCTCCTTGCAGATGAGTGCTAGATCAGATCAATAAAAGGCAAAGACCCAGTGCTCACCATATTTGAAGTTTGATTTTCTTTCCCCGCAATTCAATGGTTTTGATTTTGAAATCAATCCCTGTAAAAGAGAGACAAAAGAAAGAGATGTCAAATAAGAAGTCGATATACGCATTCCTAACAAGGTGGGAAAAAAAAGGTGTGTGAAGACAATGGTGATTTTATGGGAATAGTCCTTCACATTTTATGATGACTCATTCACAGTATTGTAGCTGCACTAAATATAGATTAGATACCCATCAGAAACAAATAGAGAGGATTGATTACACTTAGTTCAATGAAGGAAATTAATCTGATGGCGATTAGGGAATTCGAACTCTGTTTCATTAGTATGCAAATTCTTACTGCCTACGCCATGGAGCAAAGGTAGCGGAGCTGTAAAATTGAAAGATTACTTTGCTTCTTGAATTAACTGACATTTTTAAATGATGAATTTTGCCGTCTTTCGATAGCCATGGGTGAGTAAAGCTTTCATTAATGTGATTGAACCTTAGAAACCTATCTTTGACTGGTTGAAGGAAATTGAAAGAATTCTATCCCACTTATGATGAGGTTAAGCGCCCTCACCATTGCTTAAATGGTTTGGGACATCGCATTCAGATCTACTGAAGTGCACGTACAGCCTCTGTTTCGGATTGGTCATTCTTTCAATTCCATTCAGAAGGTGATATCCCTAAATTAAGTCCATTCGTCAAATGCAGCAAGGAAATAATGCTAATCAAAGCTTACTGAAAGGGTATTTGAAACTTAAAATACATTTAAAAAGGTGATAACTTGTTTGCAGTTAACACAGTTCAGATGAGCAGTCAAGCATGACCGATAATTTTAGTGCTTGAGAGGGATTGGTTCAAAAATGAAAACTGAACACTTGGCAGGAGCAGTAGATCTGATTCCAGTCAGAGAGTTAGCACTGCCATAACTTGTAATTAGTGTAAACTTCAAAAGCACATGATCGGGAGCAAAGGTTCGATATGCAAGGGATAAGAGGAAAACCTTGAATTTTACTGTGGTCCAGGGTAACAAAATAATAAAGCAGACTCTTTAAGAGTTTTGTAGATTACTGAGAGAACACCAAGGCGATTGATTTTTGAGATGAGCTTGATTGGGAACTAACATAAATGATGGATGTGCATTCCGCAGTTTCATTTTCTTAATTGAAGGTGATCTCCCAGAAAACCTAGGGTCTCATTAATTAAAGGGCACATCTCCTAAAATTGTTCGCAAAATAGAAGAAAATTCTTCACACGCAAAAGAATGACTTGAAATTACGTCCCTTTGATTTAACAGGTGTGAGAAGGACGGGAAAAATACGATAATGCTGATAAAAGTTGTCAAGAGTTGTTAATTTAAAAGAGAAGAGGGTCAGAAGTGGCAATTATATTTACCGATTGTCGATATAAAGGTGGTGTTAAAAGCATCATCTGAAAACCTAAAAAGTATACTTGTTTTTCCTACTCCCGAGTCACCGATAATAAGCAATTTAAATAAAAAATCGTACGACTTTTTTGCCATTTTCACCAAACGAAAAAGATATTTACAGTCAAATGGATCGGACGATTTCCGGACTCTGAAAAATCACAGACTATCTTTTATAAGAGAGTGAGTCATCGCCTAGTCATTCCACTCACATGGTATCAGCTTACGTTGCCAGATTGCGAGTAAAAGTTATATTTCTTCTACTACAATGACGTTGACGGTGGCGCTTTTGGTGGATCTTTTGGGTCTAAATTTCTTTTTGCTGGCGTATGGAGAAGTCTCATCTGTATAACTTTATAATCTGTTGAGGAAGTAAACAAGCGCCATTATTGATAACTTCTAGAAGAACCGTCATCTTGCCAAGTTAACGTTGCGTAATATTGAATTGTGTGAGATTTCGAAGTTATTTCAGCTTTTTACTGTTTCTAGAGTGTATTCTTGTCGCTCGGAAGATTTCCTGTAATAGCTTCATTTTCTGAAAGGTAAGGACTTGAAACGGTACATGCTCTTTCTAATTTTGTCCTCCGTTATCATCGAGTCTCGGCGCACGTTATTCGGTCCTCATCTCGTCAGATTTCCCTGCTTTCTCCTCTACCAATTTTAATTTTCTCCAGAAATCGATATTTTCTCATCATTGCCATCATTTTATATCTCAAGCTGCATCTTCCCCCTTTGCTGATTAAAATTCGGCACTAAATCATCTTGAAGATCATGTACCCTCAAGGTTACGTTCAATTCTTTTTGGACTTCGGAATTCTGTCGATTCACTCACTTTGTATTTTGATCTACTAATCGTTCTGGTACTTGGAGATGTATGCTCTACTTCGTGCATTTATCTGTACCTTCTGCCGATGAAGGGTGTAAAGGTCACTAACTACCTTGACTGACTGTATCTTTAAAACCTAATTAAGTACTTAGATTTAATTTCCTGTAAGTAGGAACATACCTTCCTTTCTAAAGTAACTACCACACTCCTTAGAGCAAAATAACCTCACTCAATGATGAAAATTTTCCTTGTATGTGGCAACGAGAAAAGAACTGATGTTATCAATTGTTGAAATAATATTTACAAAAGTCAGTAATAAGATGCGTTCTCTGGAGGCATCAGGTCAACTGTTGCTTACCCGATGGGTACCGTTGAGAGTTAGACGATCGTTCTTGAAGACTTGCTGACTTCTTGCTAATTGCCCAATGACTGTCATGGCGGGCTATCGGCCAACGAAATTGCCCAGCACCTTTCAAAGGTGATGGGCAAGGCCGCAGAGCGTTGAGATAACCTCAATGTCTTAAGTATTCGCAATCCCGCCATCATTTATCGTGTCTCGTAACTCGCCTTTTAATTTAAATAAAATGTAGATTCTTTTTAAATTTGACCTAGTAACGCTCAGGGTTGATTATCTCCGAGAACAATACCTAAAATGATGTAAACCATAACACGCTCCTGAAGTAAACAAAAACAAAACCTGAGCTGCCATGACAGTCACATGACGAAAGTTGGTCATCGGGCAATTCATGAAAAATCAGCAACGTATTTCCTCTGATGCTTCCAGAGAACGCATCTATACTGTGCCTCCAAACAATTGTTGACAACAATCGTTGCAACATCCTTATATTATCTGAGAGCTTTTTTTTTTATCGCGGATCAGGGTGGATTGCAGTGGAACGCACTGGATCGAAATCCTGAGCGATCCGGACCGATCGAAAGTATTCCAAGTGATAAAAAAATCCAAACTTGGAATTTGGTTTGATCTGTTAGCAGAAGGGACGGCAACTTCCTCGCATTAGGTTAGGATCACAGTGGATCGTGAGCTCGCCCCACCTTGGAAGAGTGATCCAGCATTCCACCCTGATCCACCTGGAACGCTTGGATCACGGCTGAGGAATGGAATTAAAAAATACCGATATTCATGGCGATCCACCGCGTTCCACTGCGATCCGCATAAAAAAAAAGCCCTTTAGAGACTGAACCCTAGCAACTTTCAAGACAGCACAGTATTGTCATTAATTAACTTTTGAGACAAGAAACTCTCACCCATGACACTTCAAACCCAACTGCAGAAATTACCAATATTTTTCACTAATATTGATACCTTACTGAAGTGGGTACATGGCTCTGTCTGACAGTGCCATTGCTGCGCTTTCTTCGATTATACTAATGTAAGTCAACTGCAGCCATTATAATTTTCTATGGACAGTATCTTTGTAGATGAAAAGAACTTGTGCCATTGTTTTTAATTTTTTGAGAATATTTTTTGTAGGCTGAAAAGTCACTTTGACTGGTTAAATAATGGGAGTCCATCATGAGGTTATCAGAGTCAGATAAGCTCTCCTTCTTATCAAGATTCTTTAGAAGACTCCCAAATTGGTTCGGTTTTCCAAACAAATATTTTATTTGTTTGCCGCCTCTGATAGGTCCATCATTTTAAGATTAAAATATGACCTGTGTGCAATGTTGGAAATTAAAGATGTGTGTTTTGTGATAATTCGCCATCTTTGTAAGGAATGAGGCCAACTGTTCAGAGAAATTAATGTGACACAATTATCATACCTCAGGCGCTGAAGAGACTTTTTTATGGCTTATTGTGAACCATTTGCAATTATCTGTGTGTGAAAATTTGTTCTATTTACATGTGTGTTGTTATTACTCTACACGTGTGGGCTTACATCTGCTGTGCACTTGCTCATATTTTGGGACCCCGAATGCCTCTAACAGAGTGCTTAATACAACATTAATGATGCATGTTCTGTAAGAACATAACATCTCTTCTAAACACCTCCTTTCAAGGTGTGAGTGGGGCTGGGGCTTTACAAAATTCAACCTTATATAACAGGGTGTCTACTGGTCCCCAATGTCCCCCCGGGGGTGCCCCCGATATTCACAAAAGTCCCCAATCTTCTTGTTCAGGTCCCCCAAAAATGACAAAAATCATCCTAAACTCCGGCATTTTCAGCCGCTGCGGCGCGATATAACCAAGAATAAAAAAATTGAAGTGTTGCTTGATTTTTCGTATGTTTTCATCGGTTCAACATGACTTGTAAAATTAGTCGTATAAAATACGCCTTTTAATGCTCTAACCAGGTCCCTTTCTCTTACTATTTCGGGGAAAAAAGTCCCGGATTTTCTTGAAAAAACTCCCCTAAGAGTCCCCAATTTTGGTTTTTCATATAACTGGTAGACACCCTGATTAATGCTTCAATTAAAGGCAGTAAGGCTCATGAAGTTGTTAGCTGATAATTTAAACATACAGCAGCAGGATTAAGAGAGAAAGGGAGTGGCTGTTGTGAAAAGTGCCTTTCATACATAAACCTCAGGGAGCGTTGAAAGCTGTTGAAGCTGTTGAAGTTAAGGTGAGGTCTCTCACAGGAGAATTCGTAACAAATTTTGAATTTTGAAAATAGGGCTAGCCCATCCATGCTAAAGCACCCCAAACTATGAAGATTTTATATTGTCACTTTTTTCTGAAACTTAGTAGGTAAATTAGTGAGGAGCTGCAATGAAAAATTAATATTTTTTATCAAGACGTTAATAAAAAATCGTCTGAATAAATCATTAAGAAAAGTTTTTCAGGGGAAGATTATAAATTCAATCATAATTAGAAAACTCACATCAAGATATTTTTTCCATATGAAACTCGATTTATGAATAAATACCCTGTAAATTTCTTGTTTTTAGTCAGGATGCAGAGCTTCCAAGTGTAACTTCTATTAAAAATCTCCTCATCTGGGGCAGAATTATCATTCAAGTCATTGTTGATTTGTTTGAAGTGTTTACCTCATACTTCAATGATCTGTCAAGATGAAACATGAAAGGATCTTATTTCTAATTCTTAGTGGCACTTCTAATTCAATTATCAAACACACGCATGTTAAAATAAACTCTTGTTGTTTGTTTTTCTAAGCATTCCGACTGTTTGACGAGGTTTTTTGCAAATGTGGAATCCGGACGACAAATTCCGAGGAAATCCAGGTCTTTATTTACATTTTTTGTTGTACATGTGTTTGCACGCCTGTGTAATTAGCTTTTTCTCTCTTTTAAATTCCATACCTAGTTGAATCAGTTTAAGACTGATCAATGACATCCCTTTTGCAACCTTCTTTTCCCTGCAGAACGCTAGTATGTAATAAATGATTTTGGGTGAAGACTTCATTCCATTCTTGTACAATTATTAAACCATTACCCGTAAGTAATTCTCGAAATTAATGAAGCAAGGTTTTTTTTGCTCTTCGCCAAGCAAGCTGGTGGTCTTGAATTGGATCCTGCATTTCAGCTCGTTTTGTGACCCCACCTACATGTGTCTGATCAAACTAGTCTTACTATAATTTGCTCAGCAATTCAATAGGCGAATCCAGCCAGGCATAGGGTTAGAAAAAGCAATTAATCAACTCAAAACATTAAATCCTACCATATTCTAGCAAATCCACATGCACCTGTATGCACTCATTTTTCTGTGTGTGCATCAGAGCCCCTTTCAGTTTTCTAGCTTATCAGATGAGGGTATAATTATCTAGCGTGAATATATAAATTATTCATGAAATTCGATAACTGAGAAAAAATGTAGGAATCGGTATTCCTTGGCGAAAAAGTGGAACGGATAGTACACTGAGGCTCATGATTAAGTATGGATGAAGAACTATCTTCGTTACTATCCCGGTTACGCTTAGTATGTGGATGTTTATGAAACTGGACTTAAACCTGAAAGATTGTCTGCTCCCTCTGCTTCATTCTCTTACTTCGGCAAGAGGAGGTGCTTTATTAGTATGGAGTTGGTTTGAGCTGTATAGGGTTACAAGGTTTTTTGCATGCTGCATGCTCTCTGCCTTCTTAGTCACCTGTATCCTCACCCTCTTCAGTTAAAATCATTTTTCACGCCTTTAAAATTCTATCTATCAAACTTGAATCAGATACAGGGCCGGATTAAGGGGGTGGCCACGTGGGCCGCGGTCCATGGCGGCAAATTTTGCAATTTTTTTAAATGTAGGTGTTATAAAGATCGGATTCAGAAAAAAAATTATCAATGAAGAAAGGGGACAAAATCTCTTTCCTGAAAGTATAGTAATTTTTAATTTTGTCGTTTTTCGGTGATACAAGAGACAGCATCTTTAATTAGCCGA